TTCCTCTATTCAACTATATTATATGACATGTGACCTTTGTGTCTTTCGTTATATATATAATTTTTATTTATCCTTTTTGCTATATGAGAAACTATTATCAGTCTGGTAGTAGTCTATTGTATAAGCGAGAAGTCATGATGGGCTGCGGTGTCCACTCAGAGATTTGTTGTTATTTTTTTGAAAGATTAGATAGTAATGATGAGGGAAAAGACTCGCTGTAGCAGATCGCACATAGGTACCTTTGGGGTAACCAGGTGAGTCAATACTTAAAAAATTGCGTAGTTAGATATATTTTGAGTAAATATGTATTCTATTATTTTTGTCGAGCACAAAATTTATTGCAAATAAAGTATTGGCATGACTTGCCGAAAAGGAAAAAATTAAATAATAGCAGCTTTTTTCTGCTAAAATATCTTTTAATAATAATAAATATCCTAAGAATAATTCTTTTTTACCTAAACAAAACTATACTACTTCTACATATACTATTATTAGCGAAGGATTCTATTTACTATTAAATAAAATACATTATACTGTAGCTCACTCTCATAATAGAACCAAATATAAAATTTCAAATGATTAGAGTAGAGGAAAATCAAAGTATGAAATAGAATGTGAAATTAAATATGAAACAGATTGTTTAGTTTTTAGAATTAGATTTGAAGAAAATAGTCAAAAAATTTTAATAGAATCAAAAGAATCTTTGACTAAAGTTGCTAATAAATATCTACAAGTTAATATTAGATTTTTAATATATAATAATATTCATAATTTTTAATTATAAAAAAATTTAAATTATTTGTTTTATAGAAAAGAAATCCTAATATACAAGCAAAACTTTTTGAAGTATATGTTTTTGAATTTAATACAGTAAATATAGAACAAGAACACATAAAAAAAATAGATCATATTCTTTTAAACTATTTAATTTGTTAAGTGAATCTATGAAAAGAAAGTGTTTTCATGTATTTTTAATTCAAGTTAGTATGACCTTTAAAAATAAAATTCTCAAATTTTATAATTTTATTAATCAACCTGTTATACAAGAACTTCATTTTAATATTCAAGACAAGAATTATGTGGTTAACTTTAATAATAAAAGTATAGAAAAAAAAATCAACATATTGAAACAATTATACAAATTATTGATCAGAGTTTAATCTCTTGGAATACTTATCATAACTTAGCTTCTCTTCAATATAAATTACCATATAATCATCTCATCTCAGACACTAGAAAAAAAATTAATGAAAAAATATGTTAAAAAATTTCTATTTCTATTTTAAATATCACAAATATACCTCTTATAATAACAAATAAGCTATCTGATATTACAGATCTAGAGATTGAAGAAGAGATTCTGCAATACATTAGTAAAGCAGGCTATTGAAAGATTACAGATATATTATTCTTTATAATTCCAAACCTTTTAGACAGAAAAGTTTTAAATATAAGTAACCTGATAATCTTTATACATATATTTAGTAAGGATAGAAAATGTTTTTTAAAAACCAGATATACTAGTTAAAAACAATTAACTTTTACTAGAAAATATAAAGTTATTTACTGTATACTGTATAGTACTGACTACAGTACTCTGGGTACTTTTCAATAAACTATTAAATTTCTTGAATAGTACTTACCTGAGTACTATTTACAGAAGGGAGTATACAAGTATAGAGGTATTTTGTAACAGGGATACTATAGCAGGGGGGTCTTTTACATGGTTATAATAAAATTACTGTATACTAATAGATGGCTTACTAAGGTGCTATGATGTAATTTATAGCATAGCCGCAGTATATAATTTATTTGTATATATCAATATACTTGGTAATTAAATATAATTAATAAATTAACATATTGTAACTAATAGTATATCATAAATTACATCATAATTGTATCAGTAAATCATGATATAAAAGAAATTTTTTTTTTTTATCTATTAATCTGTTAAGGTTACAATGATATGCGAATGTGGAAATAAGAATAGTAGACATGCGAGAGTAACAAATAAAATAAGATAGCAATGGAATACATGTGAAAAACTTGCTATTGTTATATACTTTGAAAAGCACCTAAGTCAGAGTGTTCGAGCAATAGCTACCAAATTTAATATTGAACCAAAACAAGTAAGAAATTAGAGTAACAAAAAAAATGAGTTAATGAATGTCTCACCTCATATTAAGCAAATGAATAAGAGAAAATCGCCTAAATATCCTGAGTTAGAGAAGGCTATTTTTAGTTGGGTACAAGAATTATATAGTAAACTCAAACTCGTGACTCATGCTATGATACAAATTAAGGCCAAAACATTATCTCAAAAATCACCTTATATTACTTATTATCCTGGTATTACTAAAAGCAAATTTAGCAATAAGTAGATTGATAGCTTTATGACTCATTACAAATTAAGTAATCAGCATCGAACATCTGTAGCTCAAAAACTCCTTGAAGATCTGCAATTACAACAACAAGAGTTTTTAAGTTTTGTATTGTATAATCGAATTCAATATAATTATCTTCTTGCCTTAATAGATAATATAGATAAAACTCCATTATTATTCAACCTTCCAAATAATACTACAATTGATAATTGTGATGCAAATACAGTTTCAATTCAGACCTGTGGATATAAAAAATTATATTTTACCATTGTACTTACTTGTTTAGCTAATAGGACTAAATTGTCTCTAGTTATTATCTTTAAATTAGTTAATATTCTACAGTAAGTATTTCTTACTAGAGTTTATGTGTGTACAAATCCTAAAAGATGGATGAATGAAGATGAGATGTTATAGTAGATTAAAAATATATGAAATTTGCGATCAAAAGTATCAGTAGACTCATGTTCACTTTTAGTTTTAGATTCATTCACTGCTCATATTACTGATATAGTTAAACGTCAATTCTCTGAAAAAATACAAATTTAGCTGTAATTCCAGGAGGTTTAACCTCAAAAGTTCAACTATTGGACATTGCTATCAACAAATCATTTAAAGCAAGTGTAAAGTATACAAATTATACATATAACTGAAACCTTTCAGTTATTTCGGCTACATGGCAAATAATAAAGCAAAGTTTTCAATAATTTGTAAATATAGTAAAAATTAGGCTTAACATATATGAAGCCTAATTTTTACTATATTTACAAATTATCAAAAACTTTGCTTTAATCATTTGCCATATAACCAAAATGGCCAAAAGGTTTTGGTCACATGTATAATACAAATTATATATTATATAAATAAATATAATAGATTTCTTTATTTATCTTATATATATAGATACGAAATATTAAAAGATACAATTTCCAAAAAAACATTTCTTTAAAAAGTTTAGTTATGTCTAATAACCAGATTAATTTAAACGAAGAAAATACATTAATACATTCGATCAATATGAATACTTCGTTGTTTTATTTAGATCTTTCATTCAATATCATTAATGAACATGTTGTTAACGATTTTAGAACAATATTTTACATAAAGTCTAACTTAAAAATTATGAAAATTGAGAAATACGTATTTACCAGGTGTTTTAAATAACATATTTAATGTTTCAAATACAAATATTTTTAAATAAATAGACAATTTTACTTCAGGTTACTGAAAAAAAATGATCTCATTACCAAATGAATGTCTTAGTGAAATATTTTATTATTTTCGTGATAGTTACAAAGATTTATTTAAATGTCTTTTAGTTAATTGTCAATGGTATAGGATTACTGTACCTATACTATAGAGAAAACCTAACAAATATTTTAAAGATGTAAGGTTAATAGATATTTGCTTATTATTTTTAACTGATGATGAGAGGAAGCGATTAGAGGAACTTGGTATAATTCTACCTAATACTAAACCAATATTTGATTATCTTTTATTTGTTAAACATATTTATAGTTTTGATTTAGCTATCAGAATTAGTAATTATTTTGGGGATAGATTTGAATTTTTAATTAAAGATTACTTTAGTGTTCTACAAAAAGTAGAAGATATTATGATTATAATATTTATAAAAAGATATCCGAATCTTGAATTTCTGTATATATCTGGAAATATTTTACCTAAAGTATTCAGTATATTATGTAAAAATACTACTATTAGATCATTGCAGATAGATTTAAATGTTAAAAAGAATATTGAGAAAACATTGACACTTCCAAGTATTATTTCATTAAATCTCTCACTTAATCATATGACTCTAGATTATGATGATGCATTACCGTTAATATTTTTAAAACTAAAATCATTGAATCTCAGTTGTAATGATATTAGATACAGAGGTATGAATAGATTAATTAAAGCTCTTGATAATGCAATGTTGGTATTATTAGATCTTAGTCTAAATAAGCTATATTTCGAAGGAGAAATTTTATTAAATTATTTTTATAATAATACTTCTTTAATATATTTGAATGTTCATGGAAATTATTTTGAACTGAATGATAGAATCTTATTTGCAAAAATCTTGCGTGAAAATAAGATTCTTAAACATTTAAACATAAGCAATAATCAACTTGGTAGTATTGGTGGAGAGACAATATTAGAAGCACTTTATGTAAATGATATGTTAAAATCTTTAAATATTGGTACTAATGAAATTGGTTCGAGAATAAAAGAACTTTTAATTACATTAATCTGTAAGAATACAACTCTAAAGAAATTATATATTTATGATAATGATAGTGATGTTATAAATGATAGAAAGAGGTTATCTAAATCCTTAAAAAAAAATAAGTCAATAACTCATATAAATTTATCGTACAATAAGATTAGTGATAGAGCTATCAGAGAATTAAAAGAGGTTTCAGATAAAAATATTAAATTAGACAGATAAATTTCCATAATTTTATTATAAATAAATATATTGAATACAATTATTTTCATGAATGATGGAAACAACTCCTCTAATACATTATTTACCTACTGAAATTATAATACAAGTATTTCTATACTTGATTCTAAAGAAAATAATATTATTATATTATTAAAATGTTATAATATTATTTTAACATGTAAGAGATGGAAAGATATTATCGAAAAATACTTTAAATTAATTAGATATCGAATAG